TCAAATTTGTGGCCTCAAGTGATCCTCCCGCCTTGACCCCCCAAATTACTGAGATTACATGTGTGAGCCATTGTGCCTAGCCCTCTGCCAGTCATTCTATGAAAACCTTTTACTTTCCCTACTCTTCTAACTGTTGTTGAAAGATTCTTGGTAATTGTTTGGGGTACAGATTATAAAACTACTTTTTAATTTTTAGGAATAAGAATTTAGAAGATAATTACTGTGAGATTACTGGTGAGTATGACTGGAATAATTTTTTCATCATATATCTTTCTCTTCATCCATATTCCTTGGTAAGTAATATGTATAAGAATCATGAAAAAAGAAGTAGGGAAGTTTGTCATTTACATAAAGTCTTCAATTTAAAATTTTACAGACTCACTACTATTATATTTCTCTCAAACCTGCTAGTCCTCCTCTTTTCCCTATTTTGAACTACCACTCACTCAGTCATTGACTCAAGTCAGGAATCAAGGAGTCATTTTGACCTCTTCCTTTATTCCCCATATCTATTTGGCTCTATTTTCTGCCTATTATGTCTTCTAAATATCTTGCAAATCTGTTACCTGTTTTCTATTCATTCTGCCACTGCTTTAATTCAAGTCCTCATTCCTCATTATTTTTACTTGTGCTATTGTATTTAGTTTCTCATCTTTCCAATTTATTCTCCATAGTTTTAAATCTGATTATATTTTCTCCTGGCTTAAAATGGTTCACTGACACTTTTTTGCTTAGAGCATAAAGCCCACATTCCTTAACAGTGATTTAGAAAGTCCATTATAATTTGGCCTGTCTTCTTCTCCAGGATTATCTCCCACTATGCTCTAGCCCATGATGAATTATTAGCAGTTCCCCATATGGACTTTTTTCCTGCCTGTATGCATTTATGAATGGTATTTTCTCTATCTAAAGTGTTCTTTCTACTCCAATTTGCATGTCACTGTACAGAGGATACAATAATCATTGATCTCTCTGTCATTAAAATAGAACCTTAAAAGTAAATGAAATTTAATACATTCCCAACACAAAGAAGAGATAAATGTTTGAGGTGATAGATATCTCAATTACTTTGATTTGATCATTATGCATTGTATACCAGTATCAAAATATCACATGTGTACCACAAAATATATACAACTATTTTATATTGATAAAACTTTTTAAAAATAATTTTTTAAAAATTAAAAAAAATTTAATTTGTAAGTCCTCATGAAGGGCTTAGTAACTGGTAAATACTTGTAACTGATGAAGAACCTAAGAAAAGGAAAATCAGGCTCTTAGTAATATGTATTTTTTCTGACTACAGTCTTTTTTTCTCAGTAGGGATGAACACATTGCTTTGTGCTCCCATTCAGACTCAGATGCCACAGAAAGAGGTATGAGTTCATGCAACTACCTTCATATTTTAATTTCTCTTGACAGTTAAAATTTAAAAAGCACATGGCATGATTTAGGAGTGACTTAACAAAATGAATCAGCATAGATTAGAAAAGCTTCCTACCTTCCTGGTTAAGTAAGGATAGTTAAATCACTGCCAGTTTAAATAATAGAGAGATATATTATACTAAGACTGTTCAAACTTTAAAGAGCATATGAATCATCTCAGGATTTATTAAAAAACAGATCCTTATCCAGTAGAAATGAAGTAGACCCTGAGAGTCTACGTTTCTAATTATCTCCCGGGTGATACTAGTGCACAGGTCCACAGACCATACTTTTAGTAGCAAGGAGTTAAACCATGTCCTCTCAAAAAAAAAAAAAAAAAAAATCAAGCACAGAGTGTAATATAAGTTAGCCGTCATGCATTTATGCCTTTCTAAGACTTTTTTTTATTTAGGATGAGCATGACCTTCTATCCAATGTAGCAATTAGAATTTTCATTATGGTTACATTTGGAATTGTGTCTTTCATTTTTCAGTCATTTTACTGGGTATGTAATTAATCTTGAATTTGTTTTAACCTTGACTTTTTAATCTGTCCCCAAACCCTAAAAAGTAACTCATTCACAGACTTCAGAAAAAAATTTAATAGCAAATTATGTGCAATATACCACATCATTGATTCAAACAAACCAATGTATCATGAAACCATCACTGAGGATTGATTGTATAGTACATGTTATAAAATGCCTTTTTACAAGTTTACATTTGATCTGATTTATTATATTTTGCTTTCATTATAGTTTTCAATTATAGAACATAACCATGAAAGGATACACAGAAATGACCAGACAGTCATCTTTTCTGATGAAAACCAGATGGACCTGACAGCAAGTCATACTGTGATGATTACCAAAGGCCTTTTAGACAGTACCAAAAGTGAAAAGTCCACCAAAATAGATACTACATCATTTCTAGCTAATTTAAAGCTCCATACTGAGGATTCAAGAATGAAAAAAGAATTAAATTTTTCTACAGATCAAAACACTTCTTCAGAGAAAAAAATAAATTTCAATGACTTCATAAAAAAATTGAAAGCAAGAAAATATAATGCTTCTCCTTCTACAGGGCCTGATAAAGAAAATTGTGAGATACCTATTTATTCCAAAGAATCCAATAGTGCCTCTTCAACACATCAAGTGCATGCAACTCTTACTGTAGATGAGAACAACAGTAATGTAACTAGAATTTTTAGAGAACAAGATGATGGGATGAATTTCACCCAGTGTCATACAGCCAATATTCAGACTTTGGTTCCCACATCCAGTGAGGCCAACTTACACGAATTTAAAGGCAATGATATTACAATTTATGGTAATGACTTTATGGACTTGACAGTTAACCACACTATACAGATTTTGCCCTCAGCAGATAATTTATCTGAAATAGAAAGTCAAACTCAGAATGTCATGATGGATGTCACAACAGGTGACAGAACTCAAGCTCTAGGAGAGAAAACCGCCTTTAAGAATAAACCGAATACTGCTTGTCAAGACCCTTCCTTAAACCCTGAAGACAAAATGCATAGTACCAGAAGTCATATTATGGGGGCGGAAACTCACATGGTCACACAGACTTCTAATCAAGATGCCGGAATATTAGCCATGACCCCAGAATCTAAATGTTCTAGTCCAGCTACTCAAGGTTATAAGACAGTTTTCTATTCTAGTTGTAATGATGCCATGGAACTAACCAAGTGTCTCTCAAGTATGAGAGAGGAGAAGAATTTGCTAAAGCATGACAGTAATTCTAAAATGTATCCCAATCCTAATGCCACCTCTCTTCTCACAGAGAAAACTATTTATTCGGGAGAGGATAACATGGATATTACTAAGAGTCACACTGTTGCAATAGATAATCATATTTTTAAACAAGATCAGACAAATGTACAGATGGCAGCTTCACCAATATCCGAAAAAGAAATGATACTCCAAAATCACATAACCATGTCAGAAGATGGGAAAATGAATGTAAATTGTCACTCAGTTTGTCATATATCTAAGGAAAGATTACAGCAGAGCCTGCAAAATCCTTTATCTATTTCATTGACTAACAAAAAGACTGAACTCTTAGCAGGTGAAGATATGGATTTGACTGAAAGTCATACAAGTAACTTAGGACATCAAGTTGTTTTTGCATCTTATAATTTAGCACCCAAGAATACCAGTAAATCTCATCCTCAAAGCAAAAGCCCTTCAGATGAAGGGGAAAAAATGACCAAAGTGCATATTGAACCATCCCAACAACCAGATATGATATCTAAAAACATCCTAACTGACACCTGGAGCAAAGAAAAAGATCAGGTTTTGAAGATTTCACCCTATCTTGGTAAAGATTCTCCTCAGTCAGCTGACTGTAATCAGGACATAGGAACAAACCGTAATATAGTCTACTGTGGTGAAGGTCTTGATAAACAAGTAGCACTGGGAAATAACAGAAATATACCTTCATGTGAGCAATCTTTGCTTTCTACCACAAAACTATTATTTTCGTCAGAAGGACAATCTGCCATGAAAAATCATAATACTGCTGTTAACAGTCATACAGTGAAATCTGTACTAGGCCAGAGTTCTAAACTGCCTGAGCCACTGGGGAAAAATTTACTTGATCCCACCCCTGATTGTTTTCATGACCAGATTATTTGTTCAGAGGAGGAGCAAAATATGGATTTAACCAAGAGCCACACAGTTGTCATTGGATTTGGTCCTTCTGAAGAACAAGAACTTGGTAAAACTAGTTTAGAACACACTACCCGGCAGCTAACAACAGTCAACAGACAGATAGCTGTAAATGTTGAAAAATGTGATAAAAGTCCTATAGAAAAAACTGGAGTATCTATATCTAATACTCTTATGAATGTGTCAGAGGATGAAAGTGTACAGAAACCTGGATTTCTGAAGAAAAAGCAAAATGTCAAAATTTGTGGAAGGAAAAGTGTTGGTAGACTAAAAATTGATGAGACTATTGTATTTTCAGAGGGTGATAAGAATGATATGGATATCACCAAGAGTTACACAGTGGAAATAAACCATAGACCTTTATTAGAGAAATATGATTCCCATTTGGTGCCTTTGGCAGGAACTTCTAAAACTGTTTTATATACATGTGGGCAGGATGACATGGAGATCACTAGAAGTCACACAACTGCCTTAGAATGTAAAACTGTCTCACCAGATGAAATAATTACTAGGCCTATGGACAAAACTGTAATGTTTGTAAATAATCACGATGAACTGGAAATGACAAAATCCCACACTGTTTTCATTGACTACCAAGCAAAAGAGAGAACTGTGCTTCTAGACAGAGCTAATTTTGAACTATCCCATAGGAAAAGCCTAGGAAAACCAAAAGTGATATCTACTCCTACTGAGGAGAATGTTTTCTTTCCAGAAAATGATGACAGTGACCATCCATCATCAAAAGACAGCCATTTGACATATCTGGAGGAATTCTCTAATACTGGTCCCATAGAGAAAGCTGTAGCATTTATAGCTGATGACATCGAAGTGCCTAAATCAGCCACTTGGAAAAATTTCAAAGATGTAGCAAAACCTGAATGTCTGAATGAACCTCTATCAGGCAAAAGTCAGAGAAGAAAAAGCCTTAGGCTCAAAAATGACAAGACCATTGCATTTTCAGGGAATGACAAAAATGATATAGATATTACCCAGAGTTGTATGGTGGAAATAAATAACAAAAGTGCCATGGAAGAGAGAGAGGACTTACATTTGCTGCCTGTGGCAGGAACTTCTAAAACTGTTTTGTATTCATGTGGGCAGGATGACATGGAGATCACTAGAAGTCACACAACTGCCTTAGAATGTAAAACTGTCTCACCAGATGAAATTACCAGGCCTATGGACAGAACTGTAATGTTTGTAAATAATCACAATGATTTGGAAGTCACCAAGTCCCATACTGTTTTCATTGATTGTCAAGCCGCAGAAAAAATACTTCAAGGGTACCCTAAATTTGGAACAGCAAAAGGAAAAAACTTAGGTGTTCCTTTTCCTATGGATGCGAGCTGTGTTCACGAAAACGCTAAAAAACAAACACTGGCTGTAGAAAACAAAATTATTCTTCACGCTGACCAAAAGCATCATATGATGCCCTTTGTTTCTACTAATAAGTTGTGTGGGGATCAAGGTGAAATAGAAATCATCAAATCCCATAATGCTGCTGTGGATGAAGAGGTCATAGGGAAAATTGTAGACCAGGCCCATATATTGGAAAAATCCAAAATTGAAAGCTGTCACTTCAATAGTACAGATAGAAGGAATGTGGAATTTACAAGCAGTCATACAACTGCTCTTTGGGGATCCTGTGATAATTGTTCCCATTTACCAAATGTTATTCCCTGTACTGATAATTTAGAGAGTAGTATCATGTCCTTATGTGATAAAAATAAGGAGAAAGCCAATAATTGTCCAGTACAAAATGATCTTGCTTATGCAAACAATTTAGCCAGTGAATATTACTTGAAATCTAAGAGACTGCCTCTCTCTGCTCCCTGTTCTTCGTTAGAGAAGGAAGAAGTTATCCAGACCAAAACCAAAAGACAGTTAGATGGTGTCATAACACTACTCAAAGATCAAGATCTAATTAAGGAGCCCCCAAATCTATTAGCTAATCAAACTTTAGTATATAGTCAAGATCTGGAGGAGATGACTAAACTTAATTCAAAACAAATATCTTTTAAGCTTCCAAAAGATCAAATGGAAGCTTTTGTTGATGATGATTGTGTTACTTCTCAGCTTCCTCCCCCAACCCAGCAACCTCCATTGCCTCAAAAAGAACAGAGTAGTGTCAATAAAGATGAAATAATACTGTCTAAAGCTGGAAATAAGAGTTTAAATATAGGAAATTCCTCTGCACCCACACAAGAAAACAAGTCCAAAATGCTCAATAATGAGAAGCAGTTTGCTACAGCCTGTAAAAAGGAACTGAAGGAAAATATACAAACACCTAAATGTAATACAGTTATAGATTTCCACAGTAACTCAGACTTGACTAAGCAAATCATTCCAACCCATGCCAATGCTGGAGAAGCATCAGATCTTGTGATTGCATCTAATGTTCCATGTTTTAGTAGTTTCAACCCAAATCTGAATTATTTGAATGGAAAAACTGAAGAGTTTTTAGATTTTCAAACTGATCATATAGCACCTCCTCCAGAACAATTACTTGAATTAGGAAATAAGGCACACAATGATATGAGTACAGTGCAAGCTACGGAAATACATAATGTTAACATGGTCTCCAGCAATGCTAAAGATAATAGAGACGAAGAAAATAAAAAGTCTCATAATGGAGCTGAAACCACCTCTGTACCATTAAAGGCAGTTGTTAAAGATAAAATGAGGAGATGTTCTTTGGGAATCTTTTTGCCCAGATTGCCAAATAAGAGAAATTGTAGTGTCACTGGTATTGATGACCTGGAGCAGATTTCAGCAGACACAACTGGCTTAAATCAGTTAGAAACTCAGCCAGTTTCTAGCAAGGATTCAAGCATTGAATGTGTTGCAGCTAAACTGAACTTAAGTCCATCTCAATATATAAATGAGGAAAATCTTCCTATGTATCCTGATGAGATTAATTCCTCAGACTCAATTAGCATAGAAACGGAGGAAAAGGCTTTGATTAAGACATACCAAAAAGAGATTTCACCATCTGAAAATAAAATGGAAGAAACATTTAATAGCCAAAAAAGAACCTGGGTACAAGAAGAAGAAGATGATATTCAGAATGAGAAAAAAATCAGAAAAAATGAGATTAAGCTTAGAGAGACTGCACAAGATCAGGAGGTGAGCTTTGTCTTCTTGAAGCAAGGAATGTTCTTTTGTTTTTGTTTTTTTTTTAGTTGTGGGTGTTCTTGAATTTTAATTTTAGCCTTGAGTAAGCAGAAATTTGGTTACTTACAGAGTTGGAGAAATATTCTTATGCAGAACCTTCAGGAATTAATTGACTAACAGCTAGATTTCAAAACAATTTAAAGTGACAAACAGGCACAAAAAAACGAAATGGAAAGTAGTATAAAAATTAACCAATGTTGAAACTGTATAATTCTAACTATTCTGTCACCTATAGTGATTTGTCAATGTTGCTTTGTATATGAGAATCTCTAAGGAGGGTATATGTAATTTGAAAAGTCATTTTCAGTGTTATAAATATTTGGGTAGTTTAGAAAGCCTTTCTATTACGCAAACTGTGTAAAAAAAGTCATGACTGAATTTTCTTGGCTAATGAGGAAATGTAGAAGCTGAGAGTCCATTTCTTTAGTGGCTAGGAGAATACCTAGGTCAAGCCCAGTATCTCAAAGTGAAGTAAGTGAGATTTTGTGTTTATTGAAAGAAGACAGATTTTTTTTTTTTAAGTCGAGAAACACTGATTTGGATAACTTGGGGAGAACAAAACCTGTCACTCAAACTAAGTTTTATAGGTGGGGAAATAATCATTAGAAAGTACCTGATGTTCATAGAAAATAAAGCTTAAACTCTTTTAAGAAATACCTCATAATTAAACATAGAAAATGATTTCAGCACCTCTTATCAGATGATGTCATGAGGAAATGGTTAGTCATAAAGCTTTGAGAAGGTTGTAATAGTAATATAAAATTTAAATCTAACTGAGTAGATTTTATGAAAATTAGTATTCTATTATTTTGTGCATTAGGTATTTATTGAGTGCTATGTCTTAGGCACTGTTTTAGGTCCTGGGGCTGCATCAAATGGGAATGCACAGACAAAAATCTATTCTTATGGAGTTTACATTCTACCATACAGAATATACTGTCTTCAAAAAAAACATATATAGGCCAGGCGTGGTGGCTCACACCTGTAATCCTATGGAATGCCAAGGTGGGAGGATTGTTTAAGGTCAGGAGTTCAACACCAGCCTGAGCAAGAGTGAGACACTGTCTCTATGAAAAATAGAAAAATTAGCTGGGTGGTTGGTCCAAGTGCAGTGGTGTTTACAACTAATTAATCACAACCAGTTACAGATTCCTTTGTTTCTTCTCCACTCCCACTGCTTCACTTGACCAGTAAAAATTAAAAAGTAAAAGAAAAAAAAGAAAAAGAAAAATTAGCTAGGTATGGTGGCATATGCCTGTAGTCCCAGCTACCCAGGAGGCTGAGACAGGAGGATTGATCCCTTGATCCCAGGAGTTGGAGGTTGCAGTGAGCTACGATGACACCACTGCACTCTAGCGAGGGTGACAGTGAGACTCTGTCTCAAAAAAATATATAATTTAATTGTATACTTAAATGGCTGATTATGTTGTGTGTGAATTACACGTGTGTGAATTACACCTGTAATCCCAGCACTTTGGGAAGCAAAAAATATATATATATATGAAAGTATATAAAGGTAGATGAAGATGGCATTTAAAGTTGTAAGATAGGTCAGTTGGTTAAAATGGTAAAAACAGGACCAGATGTTTTATTTGACTTCAGGCAAAGGAGTCTGGGGAGGAAAGTAGGAAAGCCCAGAAAAATGTTTCTTCTCTCGACTCTGGCCAGGGCCACCATGTATAGTCAGTGTTCTAGTCTGGTTTTCTGTAGTGTGGTACCCCTGCTGCTGGTGCCTAGAAGTTGAATAATTGGATAGGTCAACATTTGGTAGCTTATAGGATATGGCTATAACTTAGATACATCTGAGAAATAATTTGCCTACACAGTGTAATGCATAAAGTTATTTTTATATATTTTTAATAAAATTACTTTTAACTCTAATTAAAGGCCTAAGTTGCCTGTTATTTATCTTAATTCTTTACTAAGGTATTTCATGTGAATTGTAGGTAAATTTTACATTAGAAATAGTATTTCTGGCCAGGCACAGTGGCTCACACCTGTAATCCTAGCGTTTTGGGAGGCCAAGGTGGGAAGATCACTTGAGATCAGGAGTGTAAGACCAGCCTGAGCAACATAATGAGACCTCGTCTCTACAAAAAAATAGAAAAATTAGCCAGGTGTGAGGGTGCGTGCCTGTGGTCGCAGCTACTTGTGAGACTGAGGACAGGAGGATTGCTTGAGCACAGGAGTTTGAGGTTGTAGCGAACTATGATGAGCCACTGCACTGTAGCCCGGGCAACGGACTGAGACCCTGTCTCAAAAAAAAAAAAAAAGGTAGTATTTCTGTTAATGTTCAACAAACACTTAGTCATTATAAGTATACAGTGTCATAACTTTATTCTTATGGTGTTCCTTAATTGACAATTTCAGATTTTTGATCACCATACTGAAGGGGATATAGATAAAAATGCTAACAGCGTATTGATAAAAAGCCCGAGCAGGACCCCATCTAGTTGCAGCAGCTCTCTGGATTCGATCAAGGCTGATGGGACCTCTCTGGACTTCAGCAGTAAGATCTTCATGAAAGTTAAATAATAGTAGCCATCTGCTTACTTGACTACTAATAAATGTATTTTATAGTTCAGGAAATATTTGAATGTTGTATATATGCCCTTTTGGAGTTAAGAAAAGTTGATAAGTAAAATAATATTTAGTTTATTTTAGTGAATTGCAAAGTGATATGCTATACAGTAGAGAGATTTCCTCCAGAGGCTTATAATTAGTGGAGAAACATTGAATGGAGCCTTAAAACTGTAATATACTTTGCCCTGCTACATGACTGTCTTACTTGAAAGATCCCAGTTGATGGCTTGAGGATCATGAACCACACAAAAACCTGAAAGATAACGAAAATTAAGTTTACAATTTAGTTTTGACTTGTTCATCATCAGAATTTGCTTTACTTCTAGCATACCGCAATAGTCAAATGGAATCACAGTTTCTCACAGACACTACTTGTGAAGAGAGTTTGAGGGAGGTATGTTAAAAGTATTGCTCATTTCTAATGCAACTAATTTTCTTGTTTTTTAAAAATTTGTTTTAAATTATGAAATATTTCAAATATGCAGAAGACTAGTTTTCTTTGTTAAGGACCTGACAGAGCAATTAATTATATGCAGTAGAAATCATGATTAAAAGACTTTGTTTTAGAAAAAGAGAAGAAAAAAAAAAAGACTATGTTTTAGGTTTTTTAAAACTCTATTGTTATTGAATAACCTTAAGAAGTCATCTTAGATAAAATCTGTTCATGTATAGCCTGAAAATATCTGGATAATCTTTCCGTGAATGTATACAAAGTATTTTAAGCTATTTAGAAACAAATGAGGTGGTTATAGTCAAAGTGAGCCTACCTTGAATGGTCATACAAATTTTTTCTCTTCTCTCAGAAACTCAAAGATGGGCGAATAACAATAAGGGAGTTCTTTATACTTCTTCAGGTCCACATCTTGATACAGAAACCCCGACAGAGCAATCTCCCAGCCAATGTAAGTGCAATTTCTTGGGAATATAGTTATCACAGTTTAAATATATTGTACTTTTTATTAATCTGCGTCAAAGCAAGAATTTATTCAAAAGCAAAACAAGAATCAAAGGAAACAAATTTTCCTATAGAAAATACATATGTGGTTAGCATAAACAAAAAACTAAATGTTAAACATGGGAGACCTCTGTAATCCTAGCACTCTGGGAGGCCAAGGCTGGTGGATCGTTTGAGCTCAGGAGTTCAAGACCAGCCTCAGCAAGAGTGAGACCCCGTCTCTACTAAAAAAAAAAAAAAAAAAAAGAAAAGAAAGAAATTAGCTGGACAACTAAAAATGAATAGAAAAAATTAGCCAGGCATGGTGGCGCATGCCTATAGTCCCAGGTACTTGGGAGACTGATGTAGAAGGATTGCTTGAGCCCAGGAGTTTGAGGTTGCTATGAGCTAGGCTGACACCACGGCATTCTAGCCTGGGCAACAGAGTGAGACTCTGCCCCCCCCCCCAAAAAAAGAGTAAACATGGGAGGCCTGCATGGTGGCTCACACCTATAATCTCAGTGACTCTGGAGGCTGAGGTGGAAGGATCGCTTGAGCCCAGAAGTTTGAGGCTGTAGTGAGCTATGATCATGCTACTATATGACAGGGTGAGACACTGTCTCTAAAAAAAGAAAAAAAAGGGCCAGGCATGGTGGCTCATGCCTGTAATCCTAGCACTCTGGGAGACTGAGGTGGGAAGATCACTTGAGCTCAGGAGTTCGAGACCAGCCTGATCAAGAGCAAGACCCCATCTCTACTGAAAATAGAAAAAATTAGCCAGTCAACTAAAAACAGAAAAAAAATTAGCCAGGTATGGTGGCGTACACATGTAGTCCCAGCTACTCAGGAGGCTGAGGCAGGAGGATTACTTGAGTCCAGGAGTTTGAGGTTGCTGTTATCTAGGTTGACACCATGGCACTCTAGCCCTGGCAACAGAGTGAGACTGTCTCAAAAAAAAAAAGAAAATCCCAAAGTAGGGAAAGGCCAAAAAGATGGATTATATATGGACCATAGGAAATGAAGTTCATAGCTGTGTATATCTGTTTCAGGACTTGAATGACTAAGTTTCTTTTAGGCTGGAGGAATTGGAGAACATCTTCTTGCGGCAGGGGAGAGAGATGTGCACCAGTCCTCACAGACACGTACACAGCACCCATATGTGTGTGCAGTTGCAAAAGCACCAGCAGACAGTGCTGTTGTAGTGGCCATGACTGCCTGCATGCTCAGGGAGTGGCTCAGAACAAAGCACAGTTAACACACCCTCCAGTAAGGTTGAGGAACTATTGCAGGTGTTCCTGCCAGGCCTTAAGTATCCAGGTGCTGATTATGTATAAGCTGGACACTTAATCATGATGATTCAAGAGAGGAGAGTGGCTTGTACACATCGTCCTGAGTTCAACATGCAGCAAATTATTTCACCCACTGTATACAACATCGGCACCTGCATCTAAAATGCGTCCCTAGTGCATGACCCTGATATTCATTGACACTTTTATTCCTGGCAAATCTCCGGGAACATTCTCCTGTGCTTCATTTTATGTTTTATGAAGGTTCATGAGGAAACCTGCCTTTTTTTTTTTAAACTTAGTGTTATAGAAAATTTCAAACATATACAAAAGTAGAGAATAGTTTAATGAGCCCCACTGTATTTATCACCCAACTTCAAAAATTATCAACTCTTGTTTTGCCTCTACTGAATCCACCTTCTCCCCTCTCCCATTATTTTGAAACAATTCCCAGGCATCATCAGTTTGTCTGTAAGTATTTCAATATGTATCCCTAAAAAGATGAAGACTCTTATTTTAAAAACATATCTAATACCATAATCATACCTTAAAATGATTAATTATTCAGTTGGCATTTATATTTCCCTGATTATCTTAAGCATTTTTTTCCAGTTAAATTATAATCCAAATGAGGTTCAAACATTGCAGTTGGTTAAAATCTCTATTATTTTATTTATTTAGAGATAGGGTCTTGCTTTGTCACCCAGACTGGAGTACAATGGCTCAACCATAACTCACTGTAATCTTGAACTCCTGGGCTCAAGTGATCTTCTTGCCTCAGCCTCCTGAGTAGCTAGGACAACAGGTGCATGTCACCATGCCCCAACTAATTTTTTAATTTTTTGGTAGAGACAAGGTCTCGCTGTGTTGCCCTGGCTGGTCTTGAACTCTTGGTCTGAAGATATCCTCCTGCCTCCTCAGCCTTTCAAAGTGCTGGGATTACAAGCGTGAGCCAGTTTACCCTAGTCTTTTAATCTATAAGATCCCTTTTTATCTCTCTTTTTTTTTCTTCTTCCTTTTTTCTTCCTTCCTTCCTTCCTTTTAATGAAGAAACCAGGTTTTTCCTGTAGAGTTTATCACAGTCTGGGTTTTGCTAATTGTGCATACTCAAACATATTTCTCTGTCCCTTGTAATTTTTGTAAATTGTTAGAGATTTGATCAGATTAAGGATTTTTCTTTTTTTTTCCCAAATTTACTTTATAGTTGTACTTCCATCAGATGATAGATAATGTCTGAGGGTGATGTATAGGAGCCATTAATAATCATTATCTAGATCTGTTAATTTATTAGGGGTTATAACATAGTAATATACTACAGATTGACCATCCCTAATACAAAAATTCAGTATCCGAAATGCTCCGAAATCGAAAGCTTTCTGAGTGCTGACATGACACCACAAGTGGAAAAAATTCCATACCTGCCTTCATGTAACAAGTTGCAGTCAAAATGTACTGTGTCCCCTCACCAGCCCCCTGTACCCCCCTCCAACTGACAGGACCTGCAGGTGGGCTGAGGCCTACAGGGGTGAGTGGGCTCAGCAGACAGCAGCACCAGCCTGGGCAGGATGGGATGGGACAAATCCTCAGCCACCTGTGCAGCCCTTGACGGGCACACAAAAATCCAAACACATTGGACACTTTGGCAGCCACTGGCACTGCCATACTTCGAGTGAGCCTTGTTCTTCCAGTGACCCATTCCCGCTGGGGTTTGTAGGAATGTTGAGAAGGCACACAGCTTCCAGGGTAGGCAGGCTTCTCCTCGGGGAAGGACCCATCAGCATTGGCTTGTTTTGAAAAAAATGCAGATGACAGAAGAGAAATTGACAGCCTGCTGGGGCCAGACAGCACATCAGCTAATCGGTTGGGAGGAGGCTTTTCCTGGTCATAGTCACTCATCCCCAGGACCAGTCAAGCAGATCCTCTCAATTCAGAGGGGAGATGGGAACAAGAGGCCAGTGGCATCCTGGGGTCACACAAATGGTGTCCTGGGGCCACACATGTAGTATCCTCAGTTGCAGGGGGCAAGGGAATGTACTGTGAGTCAGGAATGATGGTGATGCCAAACATCTACAAATTGTCCACATGAGTAGCTGAGATAGTGACATCTCTGCTTTATGATGGTTCAGTGTACATAAACTTTGTTTCATGCACAAAATTATTTCAAATATTACATAAAATTAACATCAGGTTATGTGTATAAGGTGTATATGAAACATAAATGAATTTCATGTTTAGTTTTGGATTCCATCCTCAAGATATCTCATTATATATATCCAAATATTCCAACATCTGAAAAAGTCCAAACTCCAAAACACTTCTGCACACAAGCATTTCAGATAAAGAATACTCAACCTGTAATAACTCTTTCTTCTTCATTATTCCTTCATTTATTATATAAACACTTCTATAAAGAGAAATATTCCTTTACCAACTATTTAGTTCCTATAGGGAAGGCACTCAGCCATTTTTCCAAGGAGCCCTGATTTCTTTTAGTGGGAAAATAGTGTTTAGAAAACACAATCAGTGGTCTAGCGTTGCTGTTTCTTTTTGAGCCAGTGCATATAGTTTTGGTTTTTATGGATAATTCTAGCCTTACAAATACTTCTTTTTTGTTTTTGTTTTTGTTTCTGTTTTGTTTTGTTTTTTGAGAGACAGGGTATCACTCTGTTGCCCTGGCTAGAGTACAGTGGTGTCATCATAGCTCACTACAACCTCAAACTCCTGGGCTCAAGTGATCCTCCCACCTCAGCCTCCTGAGTAGCTATGACTACAGGTGCATGCCACTATAACCCAGCTAATTTTTTAAAATTTTTTTGTAGAGAGCTGGTCTCAAACTCCTAACCTTAAGCAATCCTCCCACCTTGGCCTCCCAAAGTGCTAGGATTACAGGCATGAGCCACTGTGCCTGGCCAATAAATACTTTTTAAGAAAGAGAGTCAACTTCAATTATAATTACTTTTAGCACTTTTCTACATTTTCTTAGTGTATCTGCTAGAAGATATGTTAGGGATAGAGATAGAGATTAAAGCCTCATTCAGTTACTTCCTTTTAATTTGTCAACTAAAAGGGGAGAATGAGAGAAATCTAACATTTATTAGATTTCTTTAGCAGGCTCTGGGCTGGGTACCTTTTTGAAAAAACTTTTTCTATGATCTTAAGAGACTGGTCAATATTACGTCCATTTTATAGATGAGGAGTCTGGAGTCCGAAGTTTAGAGTGGTAAAATGTTTTGTGCCGCACTGCTTGTGAATAATGGACAGTTGTAGGGTGTTTTTTTTTGGGTCTTTTTTGTTGTTTTTGGTTTTTTTAAGACAAGGTCTTGCTCTGTTGCCCAGGCTAGAGTGCAGTGGCGTGATCATAGCTCACTGTAGTCTCAAACTCCTGGGGTCCAGCAATCCTTCTGCTTCAGCCTCCTAAGCAGCTGGGACTACAGGTGTATGCCACCACAGCTGGCTGGTTTTTCTGGTTTTTTTTTTTTTAATAGAGAAGGGGTCTTCCTTGTATTTAGGCTGGTCTTGAACTCCTGGCCTTAAGCGACCCTCCTGTAGGATTATGGTTAGAGAATGGGAATAGAAAAATATTGTTTAGGAAACCAACTTTTTTTTTTAATAAAGGGGTACCTGGTAAATTTGAATTTTTAGGTCGTATTGATTTTCTTAAATACTGCATAACTGATTTCAAACCACTTTCAATCCCATGTGAATGGAATGGAATGTTGATGGCATTGATGACACAAGATACAGTTACACTAAACATCTGTGGGGAAATGGACTTTGAAGTCAGACACTTGAATTCAAATTCCATCCTGGGCCAGGCATGGTAGCTCACACCTGTAGTCCCAGTGACTCAGGAGGCTGAAACAAGGGGATTGCTTGAGCCCAGGAGTTCAAGACCAGCCTGGGCAACATAGTGAGACCCTGACTCTAAAAAAAATAATAGGTAAATAAAAAACAAATTCCAATTTGTAGGTTACTGGCTATATGAACTTAATAGAGTATTCAGATGTTTCTTTGTAGAACTTTTTAAAAAACCCACTGTGAAACTTGAATTAGTTCTTGTACATGGCTTTGTCCTCAAGATACCAGTTCTGAGGGACTTATTTATTTATTTTTTCAGTTTGCTATAAACACACCGCCTACTCCAGAAGACCTGATGTTAAGTCAATACATTTATCGACCGAAGATACAGATTTATAGAGAAGATTGTGAAACTCGTTGCCAAAAGATAGAAGAGTAAGAAAGCTTTGATTTTTGTGTGTGTGTGGTTTTTGTTTGTTTGTTTTGTTTGGTGGATCAGTGAGTGAATAGTCTGTGTGGTAAAGTTTTGATTAGAATAACACTGGCATGGGGAAAAGTTGATGGCATTGGGGGAAGGGGGGGCAAGGGCAACATACGTAACCTAAACATCTGTACCCCCATAATATGCTGAAATAAAAAAAAAAAAGTTGATGGCATTAATTGGCAGTGTGATATGAGGGAAAGAGTTTCAGCTTAGTAGTCAGATTGAAGCTCAGGCCTGGCTACAGCACTAGCTGTGTAACCTTGGGTAAGTCTTTTAACTTTCATTTCCAAATCTGTAAAGTGGGGATAAAATCTACTCAGCCAATAGAAATGAACAGTAGAAATAGTGTATATAAAATGTTTTCATACCATTCTTAGCAAAAAATAGGTCATCGATAAAAATAAATAATAATTGTTAGCTTATGATATTATAAATTGCTAGAGAACATCTTCAAAAGAAGATAGTACCCTTTAGGGATTTATACAGGTTGAGTATCCCTGATCTGAAAATTGGAAATCCAGAATGCTTAAGATCTGAAACTTTTTGAGCACTGACATGACGCCACAAGTGGAAAATTCCACACATGAGTACACAGACTTTGTTTCATGGACAAAATTATTTAAAATATAATGTAAAATTAACTTCAGACTATGTGTATAAGGTGTATATGAAACATAAATGAATTTTGTGTTTAGATTTGGGTCCCATCCCCAAGATAACTCATGTATATCCAAATATTCCAACATCTGAAAAAGTCCAAAATCCAAAACACTTCTGGTACCAAGCATTTTGGATGAGGGGTACACAACCTGTATATAGTGCCTGAAATCAGACTGCCCAGGTTTATAATTTTATCACATTTCCCCTTGATTTGCATATATTAAAGAAGATGGTTTTACTTAGAAGATAGCTCATTGCTTTGGTATATGTAAATGCTGCAGACTAATTTACAAATTAGATATATCTTGATTACGTCAGGTAAATCAGGATTTACAACTTAATATTTATGTCATACTTATCTAGGACTATCCAACTAAATTTGAACCAATCTAACAGACAGAAAAGAAATATAATCTTTACGAATTATATAGTTTTAAAAGAAATTTAAGATACTGTTAAATTATAGTACTTAAAATTTGCTTGATTCTGATTTGTTCGTTCAATATATATTTATTGAGCACCTACATGTGCCAGGCACTACACTAAGTACTGGAGTTTATCACTGAACAAGACAGACAAGTTTCTTATCTTCCTGTTGTTTAAAAGAGTTGAGTGTCTCAGGATTTGTCTGAGAATGTTTTATTTTGAATGAAATGTAATCTTGAACTCAATGAGCGTATGTTTAGATGTCCTCTATTTGATTTTGCACCTATGTGCCTTTGTATATCTTCTAACTCTAGTAGAAACGTATTTCCTCCATTTATTAACAAGAGACCAATAATATATGTTGTGTTTACGATAGCTTTGCTACTTTTATAAATGCTATTCTATAGCGGTGAGCTATGACTGAACTTAATTGGGGACTTTTACCTAAAATAATAGCTACAACTTCATAGCAGTTATTATTGACAGGCCTTAAGTGTTCTTTATAAGCAACATGTTTTTATGTTAGAACAAACTAATAACATTGAGATGAGAATTCTGTTAGTAAGAGAAGTTTTTTAATTTATGATATTCTTGAACTGCTGTTCTAGTGAATAGTCGGGCTCGCCATTTGTCTTAAGTGAATTCCCCTCTTTTTATGTAGAAAAAAAGTAGGAACAATTAAATTAAGTATGCCTGTAGATCTGAGCTGGTTTATTCAAGCTGACTTCTGAACCCTGTGCTAATAAACTTTTCTGTATTTTAGATTAAAGCTTTCTGCATTGAACCAAGATAAACTATTGATTGATATAAATAGGAACCTGTGGGAAAAAATGAGACACTGCTCTGATGAAGAGGTACTTTGTCTCATTTTCTGAACAGGAATCAGTATAGACATTTTGAACAATGTTTATGTGAAATAAATAACTATTACTTGATCATTAGTTATGAGTTCATTAACTTATTTCTTAGATGTAATATGCTACTGAGGTCTTATTTAATTATATACAAGTAATTGTTAATATGTAATCTTGTCAAACCTGTGGTGATCAATTTAATATATGAAATATACTTGAAGTTTATTTGAGTTCCTTCCTATGTGCCTTTCACTTAGATTTAGATGAAGAAAAGTTACTTTAATTGATTAAATAGAAGATGACCCATTTCATATGTGCCCTAATATAGTAAAACTAAGAACCTGTCATTTTTTAATTCATAATATGAATAAGTAAATTAAAGGCAGGAATCAAAACTGTAATCATTGGTTCTGTTCTTAAACAATTATATGGAATTAAATTTGCAAATGAGAAGTATCCTACCTTAGGAATCAGAATCTAGGATAGGTAAAGCCTAGCACATGGCAGATCGTTTACCTTTTCTGACTTGTTTGTTTAAGTGCAATGCACTCTTTAACTCTTCCTTACAGCTGAAGGCCTTTGGAATTTACCTTAACAAAATAAAATCACGTTTTACCAAGATGACTAAAGTCTTCACTCACCAAGGAAAAGTGGCTCTGTATGGCAAGCTGGCACAATCAGCTCAGGTAATTTGAGAGACTTAACATCATAGAAAGAAAGAGATATTAAAATTACTTTATAGTGGTTGTGGAATATGAAGAATGTTTCTTAGGAGACATACAAATGAGACTTGGGCAAAAACTTAACAATTGTTTATAAGAGGTGAGGTTCAATTTGTCGAAAGTGGCAAATCCTGGTATCTTGAGTAATACTAAAATATAGTTACCAATACAGGCCTATGTCTCATTTTAAATGTTGTCATCCATTGTACATATTAAAATATATATAAGATTCTAGTCTTCCATTGATAAGGACTACATCATAATATTATCTTCCTCATAGTTCATACGGAGCTGTATATGTGTATGCATATGTTTAAAGTAGTATTTTCCAAAATGATCATCCTTTTAAAAAGGGTCTGCATCATGGTGCACTAGTACTCATGAAAAGGAAAAAGGAAGATAAGAATATTTAAAAAAAAAAGTACATAAAAAAACTTTCCATTGGCAAATAAGTATGGGAAATGTTGCATGCAATATCCCCTTTTGGAGAAATATAGATTTTTTTAAGTCTAGAAACTAAATAGTCTATAATTCCGTTTGACCAGTGTTTGCCATGTTTATTTGATCATAGAAATTTTTTAAGAACTATTTTTAAAAGTAATGAATATTAATATCCTATATTCCATGGGACACATATAGAAATGCTAGAATAAAGGAAGTACAAAAATGAGTTTATATTAATCTGCTTTTTTTTTTTTTTTTTTGAGACAGAGTCTCACTCTGTTGCCCGGAGTAGAGTGCCATGGCGTCAGCCTAGCTCACAGCAACCTAGAACTCCTGGGCTCAAGCAATCCTACTGCCTCAGCCTCCCGAGTAGGTGGGACTACAGACATGTGCCACCATGCCCGGCTAATTTTTTCTATATAGATTTTTAGTTGTCCAAATAATTTCTTTCTATTTTTAGTAGAGACGGGGTCTCGCTCTTGCTCAGGCTGGTCTCAAACTCCTGGGCTCAAGCAATCCTCCTGTCTTTTATTTTTAAGTTCAGACTTGAAGCTATTACCTTCATTTTAAAATTTGCCCATTCATGATTAAGATATAGCAATTTTGTCAGCAATTTGAACCATTTCTAATATTTTAGATGTTTAACTTGACAGTCTATAATATTTTGTGTTTAGAATGAAAAGGAGAAACTTAAGATAAGGATAGATGAGATGGACAACATACTTAAGAAGATCAATAGCTGTCTCACTGAGGTGGAAATAGGTAAAGTATTTTAAATACTTTTCCAAAAGGAATTTTAATTTTATATGCTTTCCTACAGTAGAGATTGTTGGTATCGTTATGTTGAAGACTTCTATCAGCAGCTTTAGACATTAAATTAGAGCAAATTAAAGCCCCTTTATTCAAAGATCACATAATTCCACATAATCATCAAATTTGGTCCCTCTTCGTCCTTAGCTATCTTGACCTCTTTTAGCATTCGACATTGCTAATTGTTCTTTTCTTCCTGAAACTTTCATCTCCTTTAACTTCTATGATATTGCACTGCCTTGACCCTATTCTTTTATCCTGGCTCTTCCTTTCTGCTCCTCTATTGACCTCTCCTTCTCTAACTAACCCCTTGTTGGGGATTTAGATTTTATCATCTGTTCTTTTCTATATTCTCCCCCTAATGCTTTCATCTGCCTTAATTATGCTTATGTGACTGATCCCCAAATTCAGTTAAATTCATCATGTATTTGTTTTTGTTTTGTTTTGAGACAGAGTCTCCTCGCTCCGTTGCCCAGGCTAGAGTACCATGGTGTCAGCCTAGCTCACAGCAACCTCAAACTCCTGGGCTCAAGTAATCCTACTGCCTCAGCCTCCTGAGTAGCTGGGACTACAGGCATGCGTGACCATGCCCAGCTAATTTTTTCTATATTTAGTTGTCCAGCTAATTTCTGTTTTTTTTAGTAGCGATGGGGTCTCGCTCTTGCTCAGGCTGGTCTTGAACTCCTGAGCTCAAAGGATCCACCCGCCTTGGTCTCCCAGAGTGCTAGGATTACAGGCCGTGAGCCACCACACCCGGCCCATGTATTTGTTAAACACATAATACATGACAGATATTGTGCTTTGTATTAGGGAAAAAAATAAAATTAAGATATTTAAGACACATATTTTGTCCTTAAGTAACTTAAAATCATTTTGGATGGGGGTCATTTTTAGCATCTTTTTCTTGAGTTCCAGACTTAGATTTCTAGCTTCCTGCTGAACCTCTATGCAAAAATATCCTTAAGTATCTTCAATTCTGCGAATAGAATGAAATTTATTATCCTCTCCTATCTCCAAAATCAAATTCAAAAACTTATTTTTTCTATGATGTTTCTCATCTCTATTAATGGCTTCACAATTCTGGTATGTTATAAAAGGCTCAAAACTTTCAATGTCTTTGACACTCTTAACAAGTCCTGTCATATCTGCTTCTTTCAGCATCTCTTATATTTTTCCCCCTTCTCATTAAAGCTCACATTAATTCTGAAATGTGCAATTTCAGGTCTTCTAGTTAATCTTTCTACATTCATACCATCATTCTATCTCCTTGGGGTCCAACCTTCACATTGGTGCCAGATTAATAATTATGAAGGACGGTTTTCATAATGTTACTCCTCCGAAAAACTTTTATCTTTCCATTTATAACAAAATAAAGTCCAAACTCCTGAGCTTCACATTTAACGTTCTCTACAATCATATTCAGATCTTCCTTTCTTACATGACTTGCTAATACTCCCTTATATATCTTAAATTCCAACCAAATCTTGCCATTTCTATGCAGTTCTGCCACTTTTATCTTTGCTAATTCATTCTTCTTCTGTTTTCCACCAAAGGAAGTAGTCTCTATATTCCTCGAGCTCCCACAGCTATTTTGTTAGTACTTCTTATATAGTGCCCATCATGTCTATTCATATTGTAGTTATTTTGTACAGTTTATCTTCCTAATTAAATTATAAGCTCCATGGAGGCAAAGATCAGCTCTTACTTTTCTCCATATTTTTCAAAGTC